CGTGGTATAGTTTGAAAAGCTGTATTATGTCACCCTTACGCCTTCTATCCCTAAGCGATTGAATGTTTATTGCACGGCTAGTCTTTAGTGATACCTTAAAGGCTTAAGATGAGGTACAAGTTTAGTGGCTCTTTCTTGTACTGATTCGAGAGCAAAACTCAAGATGTGGTCGTACATAAGTTGTATAAAGTACATGAAAGCTGTTAATGTCCTAATAGTGAAATGTTATTTTTAACATGTCTAGTACATATTGTTGATGAAGATAATGAAGAGAAGGGGTCCTAATATAGAACCTTGCAGAACTCCACTGAGGACATCCGACCAATCAGAAATGTAGTCACCTTATACGACTCTTTGACTGCGGCCGTTTAGGAATGATGCTACCCAGCTACATGTACTTGTATCAAAGCTATACGCGCATAGTTTGACAAGTAGAAGCAAGTGACTAACCTTATCAAAGGCCTTAGCAAAATCAAGAAGAATCATTACATTTCAAGACAAGATTCAAGCGCGTTAGATATAATGTCGAAAGTCTCGATTAGATTTGCCATGCACGATCTGCGAAGAACAAAACCGTGTAAATAATTGTCAAGAAGATTATGGTGAGTCATATGCTTGAGCATGGAATCACGAACTAAGCGTTCCATTATCTTGCATGGAACAGAGGTGAGAGAGATTGGGCGGTAGTTAGCTGGCTTAGTCTTCCAATCTTTTTTAAAAATGGGTGTGACATTGGCTTGCTTCCAGCAAGCAGGAACATTCCCAGTAATGAAAGAACTTGTGAAGACCAGAGAGAAAGTTAGTGCTAACGCTGAACGAGGTTCTAAAAGGATGAAATCTATCAATACATGATGATTTATGCTTTTCCAGTTTGGAGAAACGCAACTCGACAGCGGCTTGGGAAAGGTTTTTTTTCATTTATAGTACGAATCGTATCGGTGCATGGTTGGAGAACAGGAGCATCACCGGAAAGATCTTTGCTATATGTAGAGAAGAACTGTTTGTTAAGCAATGCATATCTCATATCTCAGTTGCATATCTCAGTTCCATCGGATGTTACCACGCCGTTTCCATTCTCGAGAGCTCTAATATGATTTCTCTTTTGACGCTTGCTTAATTTCATCATAAAGCCTTTTCGGGTCTGTTCTAATTCAGAATAATTTGCGGCGAGTTGGAGTGAATAAAGATATGGCGGTGAGATACACTTTCAATAGATGAATATAACAATGGTCAACCACCAATTAATGATGTGAAAGTAGCTAATCATGCTTTTAAATTTGGTGCGTCTGAAGTCGAGATGTTTAATACTTTGTTAGGTAATAGACTCAGTAGATTTTTAGAGTATCCAGTGTAAACAACAACAATAACAACAAAATATTTATTCTTCTTTTCAAATCATACAATAATATTATAATAATAATAAATATAATAATAATAATAATAATTTGAAAAAAAAAATCATAATTCTATTGATTATAGTAAGTAAAAATAATTGATTATATAATAATGAGTAAATTAATTATAAGTATTGAATAATAATAACTAAATGATTGATAAGGATGTTGTCACTCAAACAGAATTCTGATCAAAGGAGTGACACCAGTTTTTAAATACAATATGATTAATAGTAAGTATACACACATAGAACATACATAAACAAGTAAAGTTTTGAAAAACCATACTTTGATGATAATAATAAAAAATAAACAAAAAATAATTTAATGATAATAGTTGTAGTAATCATAATTAAAAAAAAGAGTATAATTTAAAAATTAAGTGAAAATCATATCAATAAGTTAGAACAAAAATGTTTTAAGAATTTTTTTAAACTGGTTTTGTGTACGATTAAGAAAAGAGTGTTTGAAGTTGTAGTTTTTTGAACTCAATTACTATGCATACAAGACTCTTGTTCCATTCACAAATGCACTGATAGACAACAGAATGTTTACCATACTTCCGAGTTTTAAACGATGGTACATTAAGTTTCAGTGTGAACCCAATTAATTATTTTGCATATTTTGAATTCTTCATTAAAAAGTTTTTTTCAACTGTTTTTTTGTGTAAGTTGTACTCTGCACCGAAAAATTTGTAAAATCATTTTGTGTTAACAACTTTTAATTTATTCTTACTTTTTCACTGCAACATATTCAACAGAATTGTCGAACATGTTGCAGTGAAAAAATCGTCATCACGGGCCTTGGTATGTTGCCTCTATATGGCAATTAACCGGAGGAGGATAAACCACAGTACCATCGTTTTGAGAATCAGATTCACTGAAGTCACTGGAGTCTATTGTTTCAAGAAGTTACTCTAAAACAAGATTACGTTCGCTAGATTTACGTTTGGTTATTTTGATTTTTTTAAGTGGTGTACAGTGTTTTAAAAGACATCTATGGAGTAGCCCAAGATCATCTCTACACTTTTGTCCAATATCATCTGTATTTTTCTTTTACTCTAATAGCATCTGTCCAATATCACCTGAAAATTAAACGACCTCTAACAACATCTTTGGAAAAATGTAACTACATCTGGTAATTTTTATCCAAGTCCAATAACATCTGGAAGAATTTTATCTAGATGTTGTTACATCTGAAAAAAATTCTATATGAAACTGCATCTGGTTAAAATAATGTATTATTGGTTGAGATTTTTTTCCAGATATAATTACATCTGAAAAATTCCTATATGTAACTACATCTGATTAAAATGATGCATTACTAGTTAATAATGTAACATAAATACATTATTAGTTAATTTTTTTTTCCAGATGTAGTTACATCTAAAAAAATTCTATATGTAATGACATCTGGTTAAAATAATGCATTATTAGTTAATATTTTTTCCAGATGTAATCACATCTGAAAATAAATCCTGTAACTACATTTGGTTAAAATAATGTATTAATAGTTAATTAATCTTAAAAATAACTTTATCTTAAAATCTACAGATGTAGTTGCACAGATGTTATTACACTTTGATAATTTAAAAGATGTAACTACATCTGTAATATTTATTTAATTTTTGCACAGATGTTATTAGACGCCAATGAATTTCAGAGGTTCTTGGAAAGATGTTATGAGACATCAATGAAATTTCAGATGTCATTATACCTTATTATATTTACAGACGCTGTTGGACAGATGTTATTAGACATGGCAAAAACTGATGTTGTTACCCTGACCCTAGAGAAACAATAAGAATATTTCATAACTTGCAGAAACATTAAATTGATTCTGGAATTTTTGAAACTGTTAGAATAAGCTCTAGATTTTTCTTTGCATTAGATTTTATTGAACTTGCTATTGTTGTACAAAAATTTTGTTCTTGTGGTGTCATTGTGCTTAAGTATTGCATTTTTTGCGCTTTATCATAATGATTACTGCTTTGGATTTATAACTTTAAATCGTTTAGCAAATTAAGCAAGTTTTTATTTTAACTTGAAAAAGAAATATATTAAGTAAAACTGCAATGAAAAACTGTTTAAGCTTATGACTTATCAATTGGAGACAAAGAATAAATTTCCTAATTTTTTTAATGGATGTTTTGCGTTGCCAAGGATGTTGCTATAGAACTTTTTTTAAAAAGTGTATTTTTTCCAAAATTAAAAAGTTTGGGAAGCAGCTTTTTATATTACTAATCCACATTAATTCCCAATAAAATAAGTTAGATATCAAAATTTTAATTTATAATGTAGATTTTCAAAATATATTTGGTACCCAGTGAGCACGGGACGTAAAAAAGTCGTCTTTTCAACGTTCAAAAACTTCGTTTTTAGGTCGTGTGCCCACTGGTTCATTATCGTTTTTAGGTCCGGTGCCCACTGGTTCATCATCGTTTTTAGGTTAAACACAACTTTTGTTGCAAGTTAATAAGCTATATAAGTTATATAAGCTTTTTTTTACGCAAGTTTATAACAAAATAAAAGAAGAAGAATTGATTGACTTCTTCAAACTATGATTTTTTTTAATAAGCAAAAAAGTTCATTTTTAATTTTTGATACAGTCGCCTTTGCTTTTGAATCAAAAGATAGAATTATTATTTTAAAAAGTTTATTTTTACCAAACAAAGGTAACATGTTTTCAGCTTCTAATTTAAAAGAACTTTTTAGAATTTATAGTGAATCAGTAGCAAAATGTTATTATTTCAATTTGCCTTGGCCTTATATAAGCCCAGATTTTTTGACTCAAAATTAGATAAAAGAAAAAGGCTATTGTAATCAAGCGTCTTTATTCAAAATAAATATAACAAAAGCTGAAACTTGCAAAGGTTTTTTTCTTTATATTGCTAATGATGACACTTAATTTAATGATGTTTGAGCAATAATGTTTCAATAATGATAAAACAAAATGACGTTTACTTCAAGGACGTAGATTTAATAGATAATATTATATATAATGATTAGATGGACGTTTGACGCATTAAGATATCCGTGTAATCAATTGACGCAAAGATATCCGTGTAATCAATTGTTATAAATAACAATAGCAAAACAACAGGTATCAGCTGCATGAAGTGGATTATTCTTTTATTTGATTATACGTCAAAATGAAGACTGTCTCAAATATCAAATTAAAAAGAAATTTTATTATGTAAAATATTTTAACTTTCTATTTTATTATTTTGTTTTAAAGTTAATCTAAACATTCATTAACTTCTGTATAATTTATTATTTTGTATTTTGATATTTTGTCTAAAAATTAATCTAAACATTCATTACCCTCCAAAACATTCATTATCCCCAAAAATATTCATTATCCCTCAAAACATTCATTATCCCCCAAAATATTTACATCAAACAATATAAAGCTTTTGTAAAAGAATAATACTTATCTGATTGTAAAAAAAAAAAAAAAAACTCAAAGCATTTAAAGTTCAAATGAGTAATATGCAAAAATAAAAAAATAACAACAACAACGCATTAAATGATCGCATTAAACAGCATCTAAATCATTTCATGCAATTAATTCTGTAAAAGTTTGACAATTAAAAAAGAAATTTAGTTACAGAAATAATCAAGTTAAACAAAAAACCGAGGAAACCAAAGAAATTAAAAGATAATAAAAACATTACAAGTTTTTGAAAAGCATCCTTCATTTGACACAAGAAAGAACAAAGTTTTGTAAATCTCAAGTCACATGTCATATTTAATCAAGTTTTTTGCAACATGTATACACTGTTAAGAAAATGGTCCTGACGTGACTTTATAAATAAAAAAACACAACAAACAAACAACTCAAAAATTTATTTTATCTTTCAAAAAATTTCATTTAAGAGTGTCGCTTGGAAATCTCTGATTTCAAATATTTAAAAAATTTATTAAATAAAATTAAGTCACATAGTTATAACTATAATTAATTTTATGATACAACTATTAATAAATAAATAATAATAATAATAATAGTTAACTAAGATAACTGTTTATTTTTCTCAAGAATTGCGCGTAAGGTTCTGGAATCGCAAATACCATCATCGCGTAGTTTTTTAAAAGTGTCGTGAAGCGCATTGTATTGTAATTGAAATCTTTTCACTAACTTCCACAAAACTATGTTGGTAACACTGCACATATATATTGCTGACAACGCATTCTAGGTGACAAAAAACCATTTAAAATGTGACAAAATGTGTGTGTGCGCGCGCGCGTATGTGTGTGTGTGTGTGTGTATAAATTATAAATATATGGTCAAGAGATACCGTTAGCCATACTTTTTTCATAACTATGATTTTTAAAAAATCCAAAGCTTCAATAATATAAATCTATAAATTTTAAATATTTAGTATTTTAAACTTTTGCCCAAAAATCTTTCATATACGCCTATATCAATATAGCTGGCGTATCTAAGTAAAAGATCATCTTTCACTTAGATACGCCTATATTTCATAGCTGAGTAACTTAGTGATATATTACGTCTAATAATAGATATACACATGTTATACATTTTTATTTGTAGTTATTTCTGAAAAATTTTCAAAAGAAATAGATACAATTAAATTTAATCAAACTAGATATCTGCATCTAAATATTTATCGACTGATACAAAATATGCATTAGTCTATATATCCACATATATTTATGCCAACATTTATGTAGCAGTCAATGTGTATGTACATTTATTATTACATTGAAATTACAGTAGCCGTATATTGAGATGTACACATATTTTGATGAGATTTTTAAAAATTGTTATCGATAAGCATTTAAACGGTTGAAGATATAAAATTTATTTTTATTAAAATTTATTTCAATATGAATATTGTTGTTATACATTGGGGATCTTCCATGCCCAGTTGTGAGATCAAACCCAATTTATTGTGTTAATTGTACTTACTTTAAAGCTACCTTATTCAAGAACTTAAAAATAAATGTCCATCTAGAATCAACAACTGAGGACTTGTGCGCCAATGTATTCCGAAATTATTTTGGTAAATCATAGCTTTGCTAGGCCTAGGCAAAACATTTTTGATGATGACATCATTAAAAATACAAAAATACTTTGACACGTTTACGTTTATGCACTGATCTTGCATTGAGGTTATGCCCTCAAGTTGTCAAAGATTAAATCTATGCTAATGCCAGCACTTAATCAATGACCACCACTGGTTGCTTGGAAGTCCTTATCTTAAAGTTCAGTTTATACTTTCTGGCAAGTTTCACGACATAATTTAAGAACTGTGCCTTTCTAAAACCTACTCTTAACTTTGTCCTGTTGCTAGCATAATATGTTGATTACTAACAAGTCTATATTTTTTATTAGACTCTGGTAATAATAATGAAAGTTTTTTTATTCAAGCAAATGTTAGAGTAGGTTTTTTTCCTGACCTCAGATGATGAGTGCAGTTAACCATGATGATGAAAATGATGGTCATCATTTTCATCATCATGGTCAACTGCACTCATATTCTCTTCACTCCATTTCATAATTTTATTTTTAACAGACTAACTGATCAAACGAATGATTAGAATTATTAACATAAGTTAAAGAAATGTGTTGGTAACTGTTTCATTTGACAAATGTAATGAGCACTACTATCAAAAATTTTAGGATTTATATCCTCATGAAGATAAGTTGTCTTTTTTTTAATGTTAATTCACTTCCCAATTAAGTAGCCTTCTCATCTCTAGTAGCTGAGAAGGCCACTATAGACAAGGAGGCTACTTAATTGTGGTTATAACCCTCTCTCAACTTTATAACTTTGAATTGAAACGAGAAACAAGTTAAGCATAGTACTACCAGGGACGTGATGGGGATGGAACTCAGAACCTCTTGCATATGGATCGAGCGCTCTACCACTACACTACTACCACATATACTTATATATTGCATGTTTTATAACATTATAGTACAAAACATCATATTAATTTAATAAAATGCTCAAAATATACAAGAGCTTTAAAAATTAACTTATGGTGAAAACTATATGTTAATATTTGTAACCTAACCCTAATCCTAGGCAGGGGTAATGTACAGGGGTAATGTCCAGGACCTTAAAAACTTGTCAAAAATCAATGTTTCTTTAATAGATACTCCTTTTATTACAATTTATTTAGGTTAAGGTTGTTTTGATTTTAATAAAAACTGGTTCGCTGCACAAAATATATTTGTGTTAATGTAGTGGTGCGTTCACTGACTAATATGCAATCAAAGATAGTAGACAAGATTAAGCGATGGGAAAAATAACATCAATTTACTCTATTTCAAATTTTTTAACAAATGATTCCTTTTTGTTTAGAATAGTATTTTATTTCTGAAAATTTTTCAAAAGAATTAGATATAATTTAACCCGACTAGACAATCTCAATATGATACAATATGAAGCGAGCCGAAACAGTAAAAAAATATTAATTTGTTTTATTTACCTTATTTATCTATTTTCAAATCTTTAAATTCTATAACTGATTTATAGAGATTTACCAATACTAATAACAATGAATAGAAGCATTCATATTATTTTTTATAATTTAAATATCAATGAATTATAACTAATTAAAAAAAACGCGTCATGTTTAACAAAAATACTTTTTAGATATCCAAAATACTTTTATTGAGTCAAAACTAAAATCCTGGATTCGAGGTAATTCATCATTACTTTATAAAACTTGGTCACACTACTTAAAATTAAAATTTGTATGTTTATATATTATTTTGTAGATAGTCAAATAACTTTTGAAGGGTGGCCACTTAAATTTGAAAATGAAACTCTATGACTTTTCCATGACTTTTCCATGACTCTTCGTAAACTTTTATGATAAATCACTAGAATAAAATATTCAGTACTTGCCATGCACTAAGCATTTGCAACTTGGTCATTATAAAACATGCAAACCAAAAACTAATTGGTACTAAGTACCAATTAGTTTTTGTCTACCAATTACTCTTTTTCTTTTACTTCTCTGATAATCTAATAACACTGCAAAAACATCTTATTTTAAGAAAATTTAGACTAAACATACTAGTACTTTTCTTTGCATCCTAAAAATATCACAAGTAGAAAAAAATGAAGATCTTTTTTAAAAGTTCCATGAATTTCCATGACATGAATTTCCATGACTTTCAATGTAAATTTAGGAATTCCATGGCTTTCTCCATGACCAAATAAAATTCCATGACATTTCCATGATTTCCATGACCAGTAGCCACCCTGTTTTGTAACCATAAAAATATATCAAAACCATAATCTGTCAAAATTTTAGTAAAAAAAATCCTTAAAATTCTGGAACTATATTATCTCAGAATTTGCTTTTAATGGATTAAGGTCATTAAAAACTTTTCATCAAAATATGTATACATCTTAATATTCGGCTACTATAATTCCAATGTAATAATAAATGTACATACACATTGACTGCTACATAAATGTTGGCATAAATATGTGTGCATATATAGACTAATGCATATGATGATCTTTTTTTTTTGTGTAAAGTTCAAGCAATTTATTATATATATTTATATTTAATCGTATTATTTAATTTAATTAACCAACAAAAATTAAATATTAAAAAATCAAATTAAATTAAATATAAAAAAAAATTTAAATGTAAAATTCAACATGAAAATACTAAAAAAACTTTAAATCAGAAATGGAAACACTATAAAAATTTTAAAAAACAAAATAAAACCAATGAAAAAACCTGTAAAAGTGCAATTATGCTATCAACACCATTATGTTTCTTACGAAGAAATGGATAAAATTCAACTTCAAACTCATCAGTCATGCACTTGAGTTCTGTTTCAATACTATGAAAATCACTGGTACAGACAGAAGGAGCAACATTTAAATGGATCAAATTAGAATATTTTATAAGGTTATTTTTGCAACAATCAAAAGAAGAACTCATTCGTATCAATGTTAGATGTTCCGGAACATTATTATTAAATACAGGAACATAAAAATCTTCGATTAAAACTAGTTCAGCAAATGTTTTACTATCTTTTAAAAGAACACTAGTCAGAGTGACTATGTCACATTTTACTTTCCATTTTGATACTATAGTTGAGCAATATGAATTTTTTCTCAGAACTCCACAGCTTAACCTAAAAAAAAAACTTCAATTAAAACATAATGATAAACATTAAATAATATTAAAAACCTAATAATAAAAAAATAATAATAATAACCTAAAAAGTAAACCTGGACGGCAATGTTAACCATTCCATAACCACATAAGCCTCATAACCAACAAGTTCATATAACTCTTCAACAACTTCAAACAATTTTAATGAATGGCTTAGTTTCAGCTTATCTGAGTCATAAAGAACAAAAACAATTTCATTTTCTTGTTTAAAATCATTTAACTTCATAGTTTTAATATACTCAGCAGCAAGTTCAAGACTGGCTAGGTAGTATCCAGTTTCAGATAACATATAACTAGGGTTAGAAAAATTTCTTAGAAATTGAATATTAGAAAAAAGCTTCTTAATTCGTGCTTGAATAGTCACATAAACCAAGACATCCATAAATTCATCTAAAAAAATACCTTCAAATAATTATAAATAATACAATGTGTGCAATTGAAACTTTATTTAAGTATTTATTGCAGCTATCAAACTTAAAAATTTTATTAAAATTTTACAAATCTTTTTTTAAGTAAAGTATTTTAACACAAATATTAAAAAATAATAATAATCAAAACATAAATTAATGAGTGAATGAATAAATGAACAAATTCCCATAAATTTAAAGAATGCAAAATGCAATCACAATCAATTAAATAATAAAGAGTTAACTCCTTAAAAAAAAAGGTCACCACATTTCTTAATTAAAAAACAAGGGATTTAAAGAATATTTGTCCTGGGTGCAAAAAAAATCTTTATAGACTTAAAAAGGGAGGTCATCGCATTGTGATGAATAAGCAGCTAAAGTAGCCAAGGTATATTTAATGATTTTTAAGTTTTAGTTTTTATTATTCTTATTTTCTTTTGCTTACTTATGAAAGTTGCTTTATCTAGGTTGAGTTTTTCACTCAATCTTTTGAGGAGTTGTTCAAGTACCAGTGTCTTCAAGATGAGATAATTAATTTACCTGAATCAATTTTATATTTTATGTTTTTTTGCTTTACATATTTTGCACCTGGTTGTCCTCATAACAGTGCAATGGCTAATATCACTTCATAAGCATTCGTACTAAGATCTCCTCAAGCTGAGCAGGTAAAAAAAATTTATTTTCTGTCAGCACCTATTTTCAGCTTCTTCTTGAAATAGCTTTGCAATTATAGGTTGAGCTGTCAAAACTAAAGAGACAGTTGCTACTCTATGCAGAGGTTTAAGAAGTAAGTTTTCAATAAAACCTAATACTTTTTGTTGTTTTCTTGAATTAGAAGATTATATTTCACATTATCATTTGTGCAGAAGAGTGAGTTAGTTGACAGTATAGGGCATGTAATTTTGGGAGATATTGTATATGTTCAATATGTTTCAAATAAATCGCTGAAACCATTTACAAAAGACTTTATGAATTGCATTAATCCTCAACCTTTAAATTTAAAAATTCAAAACAAAAATTTTTTGCAATGTAAAAAATTGTTGTTTTTCTAGCAAGTTGCTAGAAAAACAACCTGGCTTTAAACAAGCAATAACAAATTTTAAGAATTCCTTTCTTTCATTTTTAAAATTTAAAATCAATGCACAAGAGGTTGCATTAAATTAAAAAAAAATACAATATGAAAATTCTACTGCATCACATACAGCCATATATGGAATGCCATTACCAAGGATTAGGAAACTTAGCTGAACAGTGTGGAGAAAGTATTCATGCAAAGTTTAAACCCATATGGATTAGGTTTAAGAGTCAAAAAGAACATCCATATCATGGCAAGATACTATTAGCAGCTTAGAGCAAAAAGAACTTAATTTTGTTTATGTTTTATGTGCATATTATATATATATATATATATATATATATATATATATATATATATATATATATATATATATATATATATATAAATACAGAGATGTAGTCAAGACAGTAAAGGCCAAGACCAAGACTAAGACCAAGACTTTAGGCTTCAAGACCAATACCAAGACCAAGTACAGTTAATTAATTAATGTATATATAAGTGTTGTTACGACTTTGAAATAACTCGACTGTCAACTAAATTGATTAAGGTGTTTTTCCAAAGTCAACTAAAATCGATTAACATTTTGTGGAAGTTGATTAAAAGTTGATTTAGCCGAAACATTTGAATTTTTTTAAATTATAATATTTAAATGTTGCTTGGTAATTTATTTCTTAGATAAAATAAATTGAACTTTTAGAAACTAAACAAATAATTAGGTGGTATTATTCTATTAGATTAATTTATATCGAGAATAAACAAACAAAACAGAAATTACATTAGAAAAAAATAAAATGACCAATTTTTTTTTTAATACTTTTATATTCAGATTTAAACAATTGATGATTTCAATGTCTACTGATAACAAATCTTCTGATGACACTTTCATTGCATAACAATATTTTTCTTTTTTTTGACTTCTTTGACTAGATGACAACTGAAGGCTTGTTGGTGTAACTGCAATTCATGCCCAAATTGAACTAAAGAATGAGTTTTTTTAAAACAAGAAATTTTTGCTGTTTTATTCGATATAAATTTAAAATTACGAAATCGCAGATCTAAATATGTAGCTGCGTACAACTTTTTAATTTTAAGAAAAAAATATTCTTTGATGGCAAGATTCATAATAGTACGATTATTTGATTCACTTTTGAAGTTAGTAAAGTAATCAATTAATTTATAAACGGCTGGTAATATAATTAAACAAGTGGTATACTTTTATCCGCTCAAAATTTTTGTAAAATCATATATTGGCTTTAATAAATCAATTAGCTTGCCAATGATTTCCAGTTCCCAGCTTTTTATTAACAAACCCTTAATATCTTTGTTCTATGGCTTGATAATAACTTCTTTGATTTTTTTTTTTTTTTTAATTATCTTCGCTTCCAACAAGGCTGCAAGCAACCACTAATTAGTGTTGGAAGTTACTGGAAGAGAAAAGATGAAGATTGTAGACCAAGATAACGATTGACAGACAACTTAAAAGATTGCAAATTATATGAATCAGGAAAGCAAGATGAAGGAAGCGAATTCCAAAGAACTGATGTTCGAGGAAAAAAACTAGACGAATAAGAGTTTTTGGAGCACTTAGGAACAGTAACAGAAAAAGGATGAGACTTAATTGAATGATGAGTAACACGAGAATGAATTTTAGTAGATGGCACAAGAGACGCTAGCTCTTTAGAGCAGTGCCCATTATAGTATTTGTAGAAAAGAGAAAGAGAAGCAACATTACGACGATGTGACAGAGGTTGAAGGTTGGCTGCAAGAGCAGGTCCAACTACGTTTACAATGCATTTTTGCACCTTGTCTAAAAGAGAAAGGTCATCATTAGAAGATCCGCCCCAGATATGGCAACAGTATTCCATACAAGGCCGGATTTGAGATTTACAGAGATAGAGAATAAAATCCAGAGTAAGAAAGTGACGAGCTCGATAAAGAGAAGCGACTTTAGCAGATGCTAATTTTGCAACGGATTTGATATAAGGTTTCCAAGAAAGATCAGAAGTAAGAGTTAATCCTAGAAGATGAAGGGTAGGAGACTCATCGAGTACATTACCGTTCATAAATATAGGAAGGTCTAAATTGTTGCGATAACAATTGGCCGAAAAAAATTGAGTTTTATCTGAATTAAAGTTCACCAGCCACTGTGAGCCCCATGCTGTAGCAGAAGTAAGATCCTTTTCAAGCTCAGATGCCCCCTGCAAGCAATCAGAGGGAGTTGGCTTCTTATCGTGACAAGAATAAATGGTAGTGTCATCAGCGAACAATGCCACCTTAGATGTGAGAATATCTGGAAGATCATTAATGTAAATTAAAGAGTATAGGGCCAAGGATTGAACCTTGGGGAACCCCTGAGGTTACAGAATAAGAAGAAGAGTGCTGTCCATCAAGGACAACTTTTATACTACGATTGGAAAGAAAGAATTCAATAATCTTAAAGATGTTTCCAGATACACCGTAAGAAGAAAGCTTATGGAGGAGACCAGCATGCCAAACTTTATCAAACGCCTTAGAAATGCCAAGAGCAATGGCCTTAACCTCTCCACCTTTATCTAATGCGCAATAAAACCTATTGGTTTATTATTATCAGTCATAAACCTATCGGTTTATTACTGATAGCAAATCAGCCGTAGAACAAGAAGATCGAAATCCATATTGATGATCAGAAAGTAGGTTATGAGATTCGAGATTAAGTGTTTGTTAATTAAAGATTCAAAAACCTTGCTTATGATAGGAAGAAGACTAATGGGACGGTAGTTAGATGAATCAGATCGCTCTCCAGAATTTTTAAAAATAGGGATAACAGATGCTGCTTTCCAGCAGGCTGGAAAACAAGACTCTGATAAGCACTAGTTAAATAGTTTTGAAAGGATAGACGACAGCTCCTGAAAACACTTCTGCAAGACTATAACAGGTATACTGTCCGGGCCGCAAGCTGTAGAAGAGTCTAAGCGGGAAATCACTTTAGATACAGAAGCTGGAGTGATATGAATGTCGAGCAATGGATCAACCTGTTTGACGGCTATATCTGGTAGAACGCAACTAGTGGCATCAAGAGATGATATTGATGAAAAGTTTTTGGCAAACAATTCAGCTTAGCAAACAATTCAGATTGATTCACTAAGTTTCAAAACTGACTGCAACATTAAACAGGTTGCATTCCACCGAGTAGCAACGTCTTGTTTTAATTTGTTAATTGAACATTTATCTTCTTAATTGTCCATTTTCATATTACTTAACTCAATACAATTTACAAGCTGAACAAAAAGCTTATTACTATGTTTAAATAAACGAGTTTCCTACATCTCTTTAAAACTATGAAAATGCAATGATTTTTGTCGGTTAGATAGCTAATTCTCTTTTACAAAAATATCTTTATCAGTACGGGCTTTTGGGCTATGCTTTAATACAATTTAAATCAATTTCAAACAATAATTTCGATCAACAAAATGTACTGTAGCGCCGGTATATGAATGTGAGGCTTGGAATGTCCATCCACTGTGGTTAGATGGCAAAATTCAGCTTGGTTTAAAAGATGCATCAGTTTTACTTAAAATGATTCAAATTTAAGCGGTACTATTTCATATGAAAACTTTTGTTTTGTTGGCAATTTGTACTTGTTATCAAATGAAGCTAGCATTTTAATAAAATACTTATCATTACCTATCATTATTATTATTAGAATTATTCTAATCACTATTAATTTCTAAAGGGAGTTAAACCAATCGTTTAAAATGTCCATTGGGAATTATTATTATATGTATCAATCAATAAAAAGAATTTGATTGAATTTATTGACTTATTAAACTTTAATTGAATTAAAACAGAGATAATTTTAAAAAAAAGATTCTCTCTATATCATTTATCAAAACAATTAAAGCAAAAAATTTGTAAGGCGTAATTTTTGTGCCGTATCAAGGTGGAGGTTGGTAGGGCCAAACTTTTTTTGTGGATTTCAGATTTATAAAACTTTGTATCTTTTTGGCATCGTTAACTGATGACACATTGTGAAATATTTTTTTAAAGAATTAACTTTTTATAACGAGTCAGTATAACGAAAAAAAATAAACATTAATGTAGTGGCACAGCATACAGTAAGCTTAGAGCTGAGTTTATGTGAAACAGCAATTTAGGTTCAATGTTCAGATATTTTGGTTGAATTAAAAACCCAGCTATGAATAATGATCTTGCACATGGCTCAATCTTTACAAATATTTTATCTTTATAAAATAATCTACTTATAAGGATATATCTTTAATTGGTCAGCATCATAATAAAATTAAATATTGACAAAGTTGAATCAAACGAAGAGATAAAGATAAGAATTTTAGGATCCGACTAGTCATCTTTTAGTTGATTTAGTCGATAACAACATTAGTATATTTTTTTAAACAAACCCACAGTCTGTCTTTTAAATCCAGCAAAAAAAAAATCAGAAGAATCAGTAAATTTATTCTTTGTCTCAATCAATAGAAAAGCACGCAAAACGTTTTAGATTGGTTCAAAGGTATTAAAAACAAACAATTTTATAAATTTAAAGTTTTTGACATTATTGATTTTTATCATGAAAATCATTGTTGTTTAATAATGAGCAATCTTGGATTAAAAAGAACAGTGATTTGTCTGATGTTGCCATGGGTGCTTTTGACGGCGCAGAGGTATGTAAACTTGTTGAAATTTTTCTTTTTTTTCAGCTATCCCAGCATTATAAAAAAACAGATTTTAGCCAAGACGATGGATTAGCAGTTTATAAAAATGCCACCTCATAGATACAACAAAAAAATATATTATACAACTTTTTTTTAAATAACTATATATAAATATAATATAACATATACTGAAACTTATATACCTATAGTAAAGGTCTTTAACTTACCGTTTGTAGTAATATATAGTAAAAAACGGCACTTAACTACTTAATGACATCTAACAAGACAAATTTAAAGTCAGATAATGTCAAAACGCATTAAACTAATTAAATTTATTGTTTTTTTAAAAAACCACAAAAACACAAATTAAAAGATTTTTAATTTGTGGTTTGTGGTTTTTTAAAAACATTCCAAATGTTTTTATGATTATTTTTTTTATTGTAAAGCAGAGTATTGCTATATTGACTATTTTATAGCTGCTACAAGAGAATGCTGCTAATCCTATAGCCTACTGCTACAAGAGAATGTTGCTACATCAACTATCCTATAGCCTGTTGCTACAAGGAAGTGCTACTACATCAACTGAGGGTTTGGTTGGGGCAGGCAGTCTATCAAATAAAAAAAAGAAAAACTTAAAAAAAAAAACTTTTTAAACTTTTTCTTTAAAACAATTTAAAAAAAAACAAAAACATAAACTTTTTATTTTATTGGAAAAATTAAAAATGACCAAGCAAGAGTGTGTATATATATATATCAACTCGTTTCTCCGCGCAGCGGCCTTGTTCGTCAAGGTTCCTGTTTCGGAGTTATAGAGTTGAGAGAGGGTTATAGCCACAAAATAAGTAGCCTCCTCGTCTGTAGTGGCCTTCTCGGCCTTGAGGAGGTGAAGTAAAATAAAAAATAAAAAATAAAATATATATATATATATATATATATATATATATATATATATATATATATATATATATATATATATATATATCAGCCCTCGGAATTAGAAAAAAATAAGATTGGCAATAATTTGCTGACCTTTATCTGTTAGAGGTCGGCATCAGGTCAGTATTTCACCATTTAAATATTGTTACATTAACAAAATGTACAAATAATTATTTACATGACCAGGGAAAAAAAAAGATAATAGATGTCTTATCACTCCAATTACTGAACATTGATTGAAAGGAATGGTTCAGCTGGTTTTATACCTTGGAGTGATTAAGGAGTGGATGCTAATAATAAACATCTTCAAAGAAAAGTTATCCATTTGAAAGATTGTTTTAAAAGAACTTGCATGGGGTCTGATCCATTAGTTGCAGCTTGTCATATTTGCACTAATTAGGAAAACTTTTAGATTTCAAAATGTTACAAACAATATATTATTGTTAACCATATTATTGTTACTAAAAATAACATGTGGTTACATAACAACCATGTTATTGTTATGTAACAAAAAGTTATTGTAAGTAACAATAATATGGTTGTTATAACAATATGTTGTTGTTAGTAACAATAACTTGCTTGTTACATGCTTTGTTACCAACAATAGTTAAACAAGTTCACAATTGATGAAAAGGATCTGTTTTAATATTTGCGCAAATCTTGGTATAAATGTTACTTTAAAAAAGTTCTTGGTATGCTTCAAGATCTTTTCTCTGCAACTACCCAGATCTAACTATATCAAATACTTCTAAATTTTTCATCACAAAAAAAAAATCTAGAAATAAAAACTACCTGCACTGGTGACTGAAGCCTGATCTAAAGATGCCATTTTATTCATAATTGCTTGAGCAGCAAGAATAAGAAAGCGCATTTTCTGTGTTGGAAGCTTAGCAATTTCTAATTTTTTCAGTTTAACAATAGCTTCTTTGTATGGACATACAGATGGATCTATATAGCATGGTTTGACTCCAATTTCTTTTAGAGTAAGTTTAGATAAATGTTCATACTGCTTATGAAGTAAAATATCAAACGGAGATTTGCTAAAAACTTGTTGAGATATATGAGGTATAAGATGGCCTTCAATAATTCCCTAAAATAAAAACTTTATTCAAAAATTTTACTTGAATTAAGACATGAATAACTTTATTTTCCATTCATCAGAAGTTTTACATTTAGCAGAACACCCAAATTTTTAAGTAACTTTTTTTAAACTATCTTTTAGTTTGTTAATTTTAAATTTGGTTTATTAGAAACATAAAAATTGTCGAACGTAATCATATATAAAAAATTTAAGTGTAAAAAGTGTAAAAAATATAAAATAAAACATGCTTTGATTAGTTATAATCAAAGAACTTTACTTTCTTATCATTTTTAGATAATCTTTGTTATATGAATTTTACATATTTTTTAAATTTAATAAATGTGTTTTAAACAAGTTTATAAACATCTCATTCTTCTTAACAAACATGGTTAACTAAGTTTTCATTTTATAAAGTTTAACTTTTACTTATTTTAAAAATTTTCATATGCAGTGTCAATTATTTATTACCTTAATTATAAAAACAAAGCATAAAGATATTTCAATACATTGTCAATACACTATGATAGCATATATAGATACAATTATGGTCAAAAAGACTCCACCAAACAATTTTTATAGAAAATATAGTTGACATCTGAAGATTACATAAGCGTCTGTCTTCCTGACACAATCATTCTCTTTTTTCACCAGTTATATTGAATAAGTAAAGTCATGTGTTTCTGATTTGCTTTAGCCTTAATCAAACTTTTTTTTATAAGATTTTTGATTTTTCTTTACACTGCAGATTGCTTTTGTTAAATTAAAAGATTTAACTTATAAGATTTTTAACTTTTCAACCACAACTGCAACTCTTGTTTACTTTTTACATTTGCAGCTAAGCATTAAATCTGTCTACAATACATGTTCTGTTGGCATTTTATTCATTTGATCAAGACTGTCAACAAATTTATATACTTATTGGTTTTCTTGGCTGCTTCAAACTTTATAAAGTTTGACACTAGAAACTAGGTTCTCTGTGGTTCTGTGCCATGTATTTTTTTAGGAATTGCAGTGAGCTAAACACACATACATGCCTAGACTTAAGCAGAATTGTTGACAAAAAAAATGACTCTATAAAAAAAATATAACTCCATTTTTGTACTGTATAATGTACACATTTATTACTAGAAAAATATTTTAATTTAAAAGATTTTAAATTCATAAATGAACATAAAAGAACTTAAAACTCAAAGTATGAAACATGTTTTAGTAATTTGTAATTTGCTCCTAAAATTTTTAGAACAGCCTCTATTCTTTACAGCAATGAGACAACAAGAGAGCAATATTCGGGCATTGTTTTATGATACCTTGCTTTCTTTATGGTTTTATTCAAATCTGCTAGCAAGGTTGGGTTCTGTTTAGAAACTGTTGCTATCAACTTTACCTAAATGTTTTCAATGGGGTTTAAATCAGGTGAACTGTAACGTTATTTATATTTTCATGAAACCATGCCTAGACAATTTTTGTCTGATAGCAATTTACTCTGTCATGCATGAAATTTTATTTTGAAAATCAAGAAGACACATTTTTCTTCAAAATTTACAAATAATTTACAATATTTACATTCCTTGTTGTAAACAATGTAAACCACCACAAATGTTGGTAGCAATAACACTCTAAATCATTGTTGCTGAATTAACAGAAGAAACAAAATATTGGTGATTAAAGTATGAGTTTGATAACCGGCAGACATTGACTTTTTGTTCAGCAAACTGCTTAACTTGAGCTTTGTCTAAGAACATGACAGTTTTATTGTTCTTATGATCATAGTAGTATTTTTAATGAACATTAACTATTTAAATTAGACATAAGATGTAACATCTTTTCTGTCATATCAAATTTTTTACAATTGGTGTCTCTTTTGATGTTGTAGAGTTATTTTACAATCATGTAAGTGTTACTTGATTTAAGTTTTTTTTTAGAGCTTCAAAAATTAAGTTAAAAACATGCATCATGACCTAATGTTATCGCAGACCACATAAAGGGATTTTTCCTAAATAAGTGTCAAATATCAGCAAAAAGTACCAAACAACCACTATGCTTGGTAACCATTGTGCTTGGTAATCTTGCTGATCAACATTTTTCAAATTTACCCAATCTTCAATCGTGTAGAGAAATGTTTTAACATTGCTTCTAATTTTGTAAAAAATTTGAAGGAGTCTTTATTATTATTTTATGAAAAATAGGTGTCTTTTATGCAGCTCAGTAAGCTTGAAAAATAGTCTAATTTACAATAAAATAACTAACTAACATAAATAACTAACAATTATTCTAGAAAGCAATTAAGTAAGAATATGTGAGCTTGAAATCGGAATGTCCTTCAAAGTCAAATGGTATGTTAATTTATGTTATGTTAATTCTTGATTTTCCAGTTTCTTGAATTGTTGCTTTTATATTTATACTATTGTGCTATTTTACTATTCACAAGCATTTTCTGATCTAAATCCATAAGAAAAAACCAATCCTCAGTTGATGTAGCAATGCCTACTTGCATGTTCTCCTTATATCAGTTGATATATGTACTGAAGTCTCAAAGATCTCTACATCAATATGATGTCAAATTGCCAATCTAAAAGTGTTTTTATAATTGTATGTATACACACCTATAAACATATTAATACTGATTATGGTTAGCATAATTGCATGATTATGGTCAGCATAATTGTATAATTATGGTCAACATAATTGTATGATTATGGTCAGCATAACTGTATGATTATGGACAGCATAGTAAATATATTCTACTGACTTATTTTTCAAATGCTGACTTTAAATCAGACACTTTTTCTGACTTAGAAAAAAAGAACAATAAAAAAAATATATTCTGATTTTGCTATAATAAATGTCTCATTACATGAATAACTAATATATCACTCATCACATGAAAAACTAATATATACACCCATTACATAATTATTTGATATATCACTAATAATATGAATAACTAATATGCACCCATTACATGGATTATCTAAAGAGTAAAATAAAAAACGTAAATTTAAGATATTATACATGCTGTTCTTATTTTATTTGCATTTCATTAAACTATTGAAATATTGGATTGAGTAAAAATTTCTTAGTTTGAAATTTATTTTATAAATTTTTGGTCAACAGTTAAGGAATTAAGGTCAGAATAATTTTACTTATTGGTAACTTTGCAAAACAGGTTTTAACTGTTAATTATCATATTTCTGTCACTATGAATTTTATTATACTACTAATAATAATTTTCGTTATGCTCATAAACTGTTATTGTAAAAGATATGTTGCAAATCTTTGTTTTAAATTTCAACTCTGACACAATAAACATTCTGCTCATCTATAGTTATTGCAAACGCTTGATTGTAAACGAATGAACTTGTCAATGTCTCTACTACTCATAATTTCAAAAAACACTGAAAATTTTCAGTGTGTTGCTGCATCATTTTAAGTGTTTGTGTTGCTGCATCATTTTAAGTGGTTGTGTTGCTGCAACTATACAAATTAGCTGTCACAATAAAACAGAAATTAAAATAAAACTGTTGAGTTCACATCTGTTATGTTCCATTTAAACTGACATTATTACTATAAATAATAATGATATTAAAAATCATATTAAACAGTTTGAGCTTGATTTAACTATTTTAAACAGTTATTATTAGTTTTAAAAAGGTTTTGCGAGTGTAATGAAATTGATACAAAGAGCCTACTTAGCAGTCTAACAAAAAACTGGTGACAAAAAAACCAAATGAAGCAGTAAAGATTCTGACATAATATCTAAAAATTTCTCAGATTTAGTTTTTACTTCAAATTTAGTTTAAATTCAGTTTTACTACTGAATAATATTAACAACATTACATAACATTATACTATATTTACTAGATTTAATACAGATCTAATACTAGATTTACAATACATAAAATTATAAATATTGCTCACATATATTTGATCTCTGGTTATATCTCTTTGCATAGCACTGCTTCGACATAAATGTCCATATTTTGTCATAATATGTTCAGAAAGAGCACCAACAAACTCATGGTAACAATTATTGTACAGAATTTGACTGTCATTTTTGTTCCAACAGAACTGAATAAATTCTCTCATCTTAATACCTTCAAATGATGGAGATGCAATGCTGGTTATTTCGCTTACCAAATTAGAAAACTCACTATCTAAAAGTGGATCTTTTTCGATCAAAAAAAATGTCTGAGAACGAAGCATTTGAATATCTAACTTTTGATTCATATTTGCTTTAAGAAAGACATTTTGGTGTAACCTTTCACTGTCCCTAAAATATTTAAGACCACTTGAGTGAAAACAAATTTTAAGAAATAACAATTTTAATTTTATAGAACTTACTAAACGCTATCAACAAAATAGTTACTTTGGTTTTACCATAAATAAAAAATATATATTAATAAAATAATTACGTAATAATAAAATAATTACTTTAGTTTCTGACTGAGTAAATCTAGAATCTCTGATTGAAGTGCATGAACTTTTGGATCTGTATGCAGCCACTCTTGGTAAGATTGAATTGTGTAATCTGGCATTCCTTGAAAATCATTTTTCTTATTGAATTTATGTAATCTTGATAAAAAAAAGCTAATCTAAAATATAACAAAGTAATTTCAAAATATCTAATAATTACTATAAAAAAATATTTATAATAAATTACAATAACTTCAAGATTTTTAAAAAATTTGCTAAAAGGCATTTTTGTCAAACTTTTAAAAAATTTATTTTTCAAAGCAAAATTTTTTAATTTTAAAAATTTTAAAAACTTATTAATTGCTATTAATTGCTAAAACCAAAAAAATTTGCAGTTGAGCCAACAGCAATTTGCTTTAGTTCGCTAAACTGCATTAGATTTGCTATCGGGCCAACTGCATATTGCGTTAGTTGGCGCAACTGCATTGCATTTGCAGTAGGACCAACTACATTTTGCGTTAGTTGGCATAATTGCATTGGATTCGCAATTGTACCAACCTTATTTTGCAAAAGTTAGGGCAATTGTATTGAAAATTTAAGTTAGGCCAACTTTATTTTGTGTTAATTGGCCCAACTGTATTGGATTTGCAGTTGGTCTAACAGCATTTTGCGTGAGTTGGCCCAACTATATTGGATTTCCTTTTCGCTTACAGCTTTTGGTATTATTTTCAGTAGTAATTAAAATGATTTAAGTAATTCTGGTCCAGAATGCATATATGCATTAATCATCTTAAATTACTTTTTCATCTTAAACATATATAGTGTCTATGATGTAAGATGATTAATCTCAAAAAAATACAAACTTTTAAAACTACCAACGTAATGATTTTGATAACTATTTTATTACATAAAAACAATTTTTTTGACATGACGTCCTCCTGAAACCTGGTTAAGTGTCAAGTCTGTCCCCGGAGAAACCGCCATATGCCTGTGAAAGCTTATGACCTGGGGATTCCAGAAATACCAAAAATCAAATCATCCTATTATGTCAGAGAAAAAAAAACAATGTTAAATTTTATTATTTATTGCACCAAAACGTGAAATGACAGCATTCAAAAATTTTGCATTTTTACAGTATTCCTTAAAAATAAAAATTTTCTATGAACCAATAAAGTTTTCAAAACATAAGTATTCAAGAAAAAAATTCAGATTTAGAAACAAAACTGCATGTAAATTCAATTCCAAGAAGAAATTTTTGGATTTTCTTAAATTTTCTCTTCACCATGACTAATTTTATCAAAAGTTCTTGCTGTTGAAGTCCACAAGGCAGTGAACAAGCTTCTGTCCATATTCTGGATGACCAATCGGGCGCTTGTATCTTGTCCAATGAGTATTAAAATGATGGTGTATGGCTTCTGTTGTCTGTTCACTATAAATTCCGAGAGAAGATTTGTTTTAAAAGACAAAGTCTTTTACATGGAAAAAACAGTGTGCACCTTGGGTGTCACACTCCCACATGGTAGAGCTAGAAAAGAGCTTCTGAAAGCATCAATTTTTTCCGCAAAGCTTTCATCCAACTTGTTGCAAAAACATGCTGACACTATTTCTCCAAATTTTCGAAAACTTTCAATAACTGGAAAGACCTGCAAGGCTACATCTTTTTCTGCCAGAGTTTGCAAAATGTCAAGGTTTTTAAGCAGTTTATGACAATCATTTCCAACAAATCCTCCATGAAAGGCCTGAGCTGTTATGTTCAATGCTTGAAGCTAATCATCTGGTATTGGCCACGTATTTTTGAGAATCTTGAAGAGATGATTTACTACTCCCAAAAGCAGATAAAGCTCCATTGGTGGTATGAGGTCAAAGACAAAGGCAGAATCACCAAGTGAGATTATTGGTTTATGAAGCACATTTCCAAACATCTTGGCATTTTTTGTATTTGAGCCAGCTGCTGTAAACTCATTGAAAGAGTGCTTTAAAGACCCAAAAGTTCAAAGTGTCCCACAATTTGAAAGGTTTGAACTCTCTACATTGCACCAAGTGCAGGGATGAGAAGAAGAATGTGGTTGTAAGCCACAAATGATGTTTGCCAACTTCATATCACAAGAGATAACAAAATTGACATCTTTAATGGCAAGAAGTGAGGGAATGAGTTTAACAATTGTGTAGTTTTCTTGAACTCCTTCAGCAATAGCCACGAGAAGTTGCTTTTTGAATCTCTAGAATCTTTAGAGGCTTGAGATGTCAGAAGACGTTTGTTTGGAGGTGAAAATTCTCCATACGCCGGTTCTTTGGCAGAGACAACCGTGCAAACTTTTAAAAATCCTCCACCACAATCTATTCCAAGTTTGATGATATGTTGTGAAAAAATCTTTCGTGAGAGAAGCTCTTCAATGAGACTGTTCAAGTTTTTCCAATGAGTAACAATGCAGTTTGACTTTGTCTGATCAGGGGAGGTTAATGTCATGGTAGTCTGAGTGAAATTATCTCCCAAGCTTTTTCCAAGTTCTTGAAACTTCTTTAGAATATTTGGCTCAAAGACTTTTGCAGCAGTAACATGGTTCACTCTAGATGTCAACTTTTTAATCCCAGTGTTTGAAAAGCCTGTATTTATCTAAATTTGAGCCAGATCTTTTGCTGAGACAACTGGATGATCCTTAAAAAGTTGCCTTGAACTTGATGGTCCTATAAATACACAAAGCCTATTTAAAACTATTTCCAAAAACTAAATTTAAAAAAGTTATTGAGGTACATTACCTGGAGTTATTGGCAGAGATTTTCCCCCTTGGCTTGGGCAAGACGAACTGTTCCATGAGGAGATGATTCCTTGTTTTCAATTGCTGATGATGCAATTTTTTCTGCAACTGTACAATCACCTGCTGCCAAAATTCGTAAATTTTCACGAAACTGAGCAGTAGAGCATGGATGAGGTAGACCCCTACCAATTAGAGAAAAACATTTTGAGCAACGCCTATCAGAGCTTTGTTCTTCATATTATTCCATCTCTAGTGGATGTTTTTCCTTTAATTTCAATCTTCCAATGGTACAGATCAGTCAGTTGCATTGCTGTCCTCTTATTTAAGGGCCTAACAATTATTGTTTCAAACTGAAATAGTAGAGGTAGTTCCACTTGTTGCCCCTCATCATGCTTTTTTAAAATAGTTCTGCATGCTTCACACAAACCTTGAGGAATTCTTAAGTCATCAAAGTCAATTGGTCGGCTATATATTTGTTGGACTTTGTCAATCTAAAATGCTGTCAGCACTCTATTGGCCTTTTTTAAACCCAATAGACATACAGCTTTGCAGTTTTTGTCATGAGTTTGAGCTAAATTAGGCAATTTCCTTATTTTTTCAAAGAGAGCTGAAAACTCGACCTTCACAGAATTTGCGTTCTGAAAAACTGCCTTTTCCCGAATTTTTTGTCATAATAAATATTTTAAAAATTACACGTTTTAATATTTGTATATGTCTGTAGTTTAATTATACATCTTAAAAAATATTTGCTGCTGTAAAAATGTAAAACTTTTGAATGCTGTCATTTCACATTTTGGTGCAATAAATAATAAAATTTAACATTGTTTTTTTTCTGGGACGTAATAGGATGATTTGATTTTTGGTATTTCTAGAATCCCCAAGTCATAAGCTTTCACAGGCATATCAGGGTTTCTCCGAGAACAGACTTGACACTTAACCGGGTTTCAGGAGGACGTTGTGACGATTTTTCCAATATGATTTTTCTTTAGTTATTAAAAATAACATTTAAAAACTATCAAATGACTTTTGATGTCTGAATATAGATAAATTGTATATTTAAAATGATACTTTATGTAATTTTATTATTTAAAAACACTGATCGCTTATCTTTTATTATTAAAAAATTCAACAAATTTTAAAGAGAAAACAGTATAAATGGTTAAGATAATATAAAGTACAGCTAAAATTACACGTAAAAAAATTGATATTCAAATGTAACAACTTCAGTTATATTAATTTTGAATATGTTTATCACTTGCTAAAGAACAAAAATATTATGTTTAAAAAACGTTTAAATGTAGTTTTAAATTAAAAAATAATATAAATGTAACTTTTTGAAGTTTTTAAAGTTAAAAAAAAAAAGTAATTGAGTTAGCAATAAGCTACTTTATCAGAAAGTGTTTATTTTAACTTTTAACGGCTAATCATAAAAATTATATTTATTTATAATTAATAACACTCTCTTTAATAATTATAAATTAATAAAGAGAGTGTAAAAAAAAAAACAAAAAAAAAAACTATTCACTCAAAAAAAAAATCTTTCCTTTATATTTCAGCATTTTTTCATAACAATTTGATTATTACGTTAACTAAACTTAGTTATATAAAGCTGTTTAGCGGTTTTTCACTTTAAGTTTCCTGATGCCTGGGTTGCTATGCAACATTGTTTTTTCACATTTCAATTAAAAAAAAAAAGTTACATAGTTCAAGTTTTAAATGACATCTTTAAAGAATTTACCTAGTTAATTGTGTACACGGTGCATTTAAAGTGATTTATTATTAAGTTATTTGAATTCTTTTATTTGGAATTAACATGATTTTTTATTATGTTTGAACAAGTGTTTTAGATGCTATAATTTTTATTGCATCATAGTTTAAAAAGTTCTGTTTCGATTTCAAACTCAAACTCTTCCTCATCCTCAGTTGCAGTTCGGTTTTTTAATTATTGAAATATATTTATTAATTATCATATTTCATTTTGAAGAATATTTGATATTACTAATATATTTATAATGCATCATATGTATATAAATATTTACATTATTTGAAAATTACATAAATTACATAAATATTACATTATTTGAAAATTCTATAACTTGTGCATAGAAATTCAAAATGGCCTTCAATCTATTGAATCTACTACTTGCTCTCTTTCGTCATTATCTATATTTGATATATCTAATACTTTTAGTAAAGAAGGTTAATTTATATACTAATACTAATGCTTGCTAGAGCATTGCAAGTGGACCAATTATTATCTGATTTGGTTATTCACCGTATTGGAGGTGTGTTTAATTTATTTATGCATTAAAAAAATAATGAATTTGTTTGTTTGTGACTTAATTTGACTTGAGATAAAAAATAATGAATTTGTATGTTTGTGACTTAAGATATAAAAGAAAGTCTTTTGTTTCTTTATACTATTATTTTTATTAAAGTATTATTTTAAATACTTTGTTAAAAAATATACCTGTTTTATTTTTCTTTACATTTAGTGATTGATCATTGACAACTAATATTATTAGGAGAGATCAAAAAGGGCAAACAAAATTTTGCTTCTGCAACAATTATTATCAGCAGTGTGGCATTATAGAAACAAGTTTCGACAATTTTGGGCTGCTTGTTTCATCAATAGAAAAGTTAAAAAAAAATTGAAGCAGATTGTCTTGACAATTAAATACAAGGAAAGCTTGTAAGATATTTACAATATTTGTATTTGTAGTAATTGTTTAGTAAAAGTTACTTTAAATTTAATACATAGTAAATTATATCTTTTAAAAGAGTTTTTTATTTTTAATTTAGACACATTATTTGCGTCAGTGTGGTGAAACAACTGTTTCTGAATCGAAAAGAAATATAATAAAGCGATTGATGAAAAATAGCATTACAGTTGCTTGTAATTGGAAAAGAAAAAATGGGAAATATACTTTTAGCAATAGCAAGCTTTGCCAAATTATAAATAGTGCACTTTTTTGGGTTAAACCAGGAATCGGCAACCTTCGGCTTGCAAGCCGCATCCAGTTTTTTATTTAAACTGTGTGGCTCTTCAACCTGTCCGAGTTTTATATTTAAATGATATTGAATATCATTGAATAATAATAATTTTTAGATTTTTTTAAAACAATTTTAAGAAAAATGGCCCTCAAATTGAAACAGGTTGCCGACCCCTGTGTTAAATAATCATTATTTATTCTTATCAGGGATGTTTCATTTTCAGTTCCATCAATTTTTTGGGACCCCATGGACTTCGAATTATGGATTCCATGGACTTCGAACTCTTCGAATAATTTTTTTTTCTTTAATTAAATATGGGGTTTTTATTATCTGGAACTTTAACGTGAAAATTCCAGAAAAATGAGACGGTAACAAAAATATTTTCTCTTATGAATTATATATATGTTTTTTTTTATGTAGCCTAAGATATAATTTACTATGTATTACATGAAAATTCCAGAAAAATGAGACAGTAACAAAAATATTTTCTCTTATGAATTATATATATGTTTTTTTTATGTAGCCTAAGAAGTCCTTACGGTCTTTGCTGGATAGTGAGAATTAATAAGAAAAATATAACTCCAAAGATTTTGATTTGATTCGCATTGTCGCGCACACAGATTTCTCAGTTGCACTCATTTTCTTAGACTATTTGAAACCACATAATCATAAAATTATAAAAAGATTTAATTTTTTACTTACATTAATTACACGCTAAATTATAAAGTTACAAGGACAAAATATTACAAAAGCATATCATCAATTAACTCAGATGTAAATCGACTACAATGGTCTGGTGTCATGTGCTTTAAGACTGAAAACATATGCTCGACACTGACTTGGCATATGGTTAGTGACAAACCGACAAGGCAGGCATCCCATTCAACTTCAGGGAACTGCTTATTTGATTTTAATGGGTTAAGTTTTTAAAACTCGTCTAAGTTGGAAGAGTTGTCTTTAAACATTGAACGAATTTCCGAAATTATTTTTAGAGCTTGTCAAAGCTCCTTTTTGATTACATCTAGTTGAACCTGCATTTGTTCTTCTGAAGAACTTTCTTGAATCTCCTGTTGATACAACATAAATAAATTTGATCAACACTTTGCGACTGGTGAAGCATTCTCTTCATTTTCTGAGCTAGAGTCTGACACATAAACTGCAAAAGAGTTGCGCTCTACTACTTTTTTGGTTTTGTTGAGTTCATTATTCTTATTTTTATTAGCGAGTTGAATCAGTTTGTAATGTATTTCCAAAGTCATCAGCTGCAGTTATTTATAGAAGTATTTATAACTTTTGGAATATGTATTTATTAAAGTTAAATGAATATATATATGTAAATAAAATTTTATTAAAAAAACAACCTTGTCTTCAGTTGCTGTTAGCATACAGCCATGCCTAATATCAACGTAAACTCCTGCAAGAAACAACGAATTTTTGCGCAGTGTGCTTTCTCTATTATCTATTCCTTTTTGGAAACCACTGTTCTTCCCGCCAAGTTCACACTTTATTGAATTCCAGTCAAAAAAGAATTTGCCTGTGGTGATATTTTCAAGTTGAAGACAAATAGTAAGATTGCGCGCCATATGCAATACATCTTTCAATTCCTCCCACATATCCCAAAAACATGGTCGCACATTGAATTCTTTAGGAGCTTCTTTATACATATTTAGATTTTAAATTACTGGTCCAATCTAAAAAAAACAGAAGAATTTATAAAATATATATACAAAGTTATTAACTACTCAAATAAAGAGGACTATTAAAGAAATATTTATATAAACTAACATTTTAAAATTATTAAGTAGTATCAATGTCATCAACATTGAAATAATTGGATTTATATTATACCGTTTAGAAAACTGGTTTACACACTTTAATTAAAACTTAGAAGTTAGAGTTATACCTTACCTTAATTAGCCTCTCAATCATATTGAACTGGCTAGACCAACGGGTAGCCTGATCTAAAATTGGAATGAGATGTGGAGTCTTGTTCCTGAAGAAGTCAATCCACGTTGATTTTCTTGCAATTTTGACAGCATCTCTGGCATGGCTAATTAGATTTTTTATTGTGGGCTTTTTCAATGCATCATTTACGGCTAGGTGTAAAGTGTGGACAGCACATCTTTGAAGATGTATAATACTCATGCTACTGGCAACTCCACTTGCCAAAACTGCTGCCGCATTGTCCGCTTTAGAATAATCATCTTCGTCAAACTCATCAGTTTCTACTGAAAAATCGTCTTCGTCATCTACCATTTCCTCAACAGAGCTGATGCCAGTTGCGCACCAACTTTGTATTCACCTAAAAATATTAAATAGTTAATTTAAAGTTTAGTTAATATACCTTACAGTATATAAAAGATTTTATCAAAAAAGTTTAATTTTTTAAATGATTTTATGGAAAATAATCACATAATTTTAAAATTTTTTAATTAACAAAAAATATAATGAATTTCAAAATGTTACTCACTGCTGCATTATCAACACTAAGGCCTAAAATATTAGTTTGATTGATTCCAAACTAATCTAATCACTTCTCAATAATTTTTTTCTGTATTCCACCGTTTGTTTTCCCTTCATATCAATGGTGCCAAGATTGATCACAGCAATTTTATCATTGTTCGAGTATTGCGCATTTATACCTAGGTAGTGATCCATATGCTTTGATGTAGAATTGACTTTCAAATAAATTAGCATTTCGGATAATTTTTTTTGATTTGTTCGCAATGCTTTTTGGCAAGATCGATAATTTGAATTCTCATATTAACTCTATTCATTTTAAATCCAATACGAGATGAAACTTTTCTGCAAAGCTTTTGATTAGGTTCCCGACCAAACGCTTATAGATATTTTTTTTAGAATAATAAATGTTTATTTAAAAATGTCAAAAAAACATATAATTGTTTAGATTTTTTTTTTAATTTAAAAATAATTACTAACGAAAAAATAAATTGAACCTGGAATGAAAGACCTTCAACCAAAACCAGCTGGTTTAAGGCTTCTAAAATTCATCTTTTGCTGTATGCAAATTAATTTGCTGTAGTACAAAACACTTTAATATGAATTGCTATGAAGTGCTGCCTTTGATGGCTTTATATTTTTGCTTCTTATTCTTTTCTTCTATTATTTTTTTTCTAATTTTTCTTTTTATAACGTAATGAGGAGCTCTGCATGTTTTCTAGATAAGTGTTATATAAGGTTGCTAATGCGAGCTTTTGCGGCACATGTAATTTCTTTACTGCATAACTTGTTACTAATACTTTTTTCGGGTACAAGACACTTGAAGCACACTACTTTGCATCTATTCAAAATTTTATTTGTACAATGAAAAGGTCTGTAGATCGTATCTGATGCATAGTTAGTGGCCATTACTGGTCAAGATTGTTACACGCAAGTTAATAGCAAATATTATTTTGAAGGAAGAATGTTGTTATTGCAATATATTGTGAACATGTAAAGTATTTTCTTTGTGTTCGCAAAATTAATTTTTTGTAAAACAACCAACTAAAAACTTAGTTAGGAAAGCTGTTATAATGGCTAGTTATGAATCGATGAGGTTAGTAGTTTTTCTGTAAAAAGAATTGCTGCGCAAAATAATTAATTTATAAGTATAGTTTCCTATTATAGTTTACAGTTTTAAATAGAGCTTAAACAAAACAAAAAATATATCCACAATTTTTTGACTTTGTTAAAATATTTGTCTACTGCTCATAACCTAGTTAATCATTTCTAATCCACTTTATTTCTATGATCAATCTAAAAAATTAAAGATAAAAAAATTTATGCATAAAAGGAACTTCAGCACTAAAATATCATTTATTTATGAATTTGGTTAATATTCAAAACAAATTAAACAACTAAATTCTCAAACATATCATTATCTGCAAGGGTTGAATTAACGCATCGCGATTTGCGATATCTGTTAAATTATCTGGTCTTCAAAGTTTTAGTTTATGGAACACCACGAAATTTACGGAATAGGCGAATAAACTTTAATTTGTTACTGAAAATGTTATGAAAAACAAAACAATAAATTTATGACTACAAAAGTAATAATACTACAGTGTTGTTACTTTAATAACACTCTTTTATGTTGCATTTATAGTCTATTGTTTGATCAAACAACACATAATCAAGATATTATAAATATAAATGATTTAATTAAGTAATTCCAAACTTTAATTAAAGTAGTAATGCATCTTGAAAAAATACAATGGATATTTAAACAATGTTAAAAACCTTAGCAACTTTTACGAATACATATTTTTATAAACAGTTTAGCATTTCTAAACATCTTACTAACGGTCCGGAAAAAACGCGTGTTCACTTTAAAATCATCCAATGAAAACACTGATAATTTACTTCTTAGGAGAAATCTATATTAAAAGGGGAGGGTCGGGAGGAGGCTATAAACTTAAATTTTGTTTTATTATTTAATCAATTAAATCATAATAAAAGTAAAGACAAAAAAATATATTTCTAAAAATATACTTCTTTATAACTAAAATTTATTAAATTGAACTCCTCTGTTTTTAGTTTTAAGTAAATGTCAGTACTACTCTCAGTGGCGAAACTGCAGAGGGAAGGGGGGTAGCAGACAAAAAGTGTCCTATTTTTAAGCTAATTTTAGGTTGCATGGGCGATGTGGGGCTTATTTTAAAAATTGTGCGGAGGAGGGGGGGGGAATTTTGCTACTGACTACTCTAATGTGCTTAATACATAGGTAGGTGGGGGTGGGAATTTTAGTCAGGATATATAAAATGGGAGGAGTAAATAATAAAAAAAAGCGGGAGGATTTACAATGAAAGTTTTATTATTTATCGGTTACCAATATATATTTTTTTTAATTTTAAGGCCAATTTTCACTGAATTTTTGTTTTGAGATATAGTTTTTTGTTTATAACAAGTGACTTGTTATAAACAAATAACACGATTTTCAAAATCAGCCCCATATCGCCCATGCAACCTAAAATTAAATTAAAATCAGGACACTTTTTGTCTGTTAACCAAAGCCCCCCCCCCTCCCCCGCAGTTTCGCCACTGAGAGTAGTACTGACATTTACTTAAAACTAAAAACAGAGGTGTTCAATTTAATAAATTTTAGTTATAAAGAAGTATATTTAGAAATATATTTTTTTGTCTTTACTTTTATTATGATGCATTATACAGACTTGATAATTTATTCAAGCGCGTTTAATTCATAGGAGTTTTATCGCATGATGTCATTGGTAACATTCTAGAAATTCTTTAAAAATTTTACAATTAAATTTTATTAAAATAGCTAACTATAGTTACTTATTTTATTAAAAGTTTATTTTATTAATTGTTCGTTAGTTTTTTACAAACCTAATGAACAATTAATTAAACCAAGCACTAAGAAAAGATATAAAAATTAAGAATATACTAATAAAGTATATAATTTGTAATTAACTTTCAAAATTTTGACAATTTAAAAAATATATATTATAAAACATTTATTTTTGTAAACAAATGATAATAGTTTAACAGATTTACGGCTTTACAGATGTGACTCCGAGAATGAGCCATAATATTAAAGTAATAGTTCATTTGATAATATATTCTTAAAAAAATTTATGCTAGATATCTCAAAATGCAACAAATCGTAAATAATACAATTCCTAAAACATTTCAACAGAATACTCTAGAATTTATTTCGCTTAGGCAGTATATTTTTTGAACCAATAGAATTAGTTTGTTCGCATATTTGGCAGATTTTTAGTGTTCGCAAATATTCTTTTTATTCTTCCGCAAGATGTTTTAAGAACATTCAAGTTAATTATGTTTCCATGTATGTCTGTAAAATAAAAGTTATATTAATTAAAATAAAATTATATTAATTAAAATAAAAAATTAACAAATATATTAATTTTTTAACTTTTTAGCCCCCGCCATAATATATATTGGATGTTATAATAATGGAAATATAAATAATGAAATAAGATCACCTCAATACCGAAAAATACATTTTTTAAAACCAGAGAAAAAATGCGTTAATAATTTTTTTTTTTAATATTTACAAAGTAAATTAATAAAAGTGCATTATTATTTAGGTTAAAAAAATTTTATCTAATATTTTGAAAGAAAAACTTATAACAAAAGAAATCAAAATACTTGTGGTCTAGATGAATATTTAAAAAAAGTTGCGCAAATAAAATACTATTTTGTTTTTTATTTTATTTTTGTTTTTAATTTTATTTTGTTTTTAATTTTATTTTACAAACACATTTTAGAACATTATAATAATTATATAACTATATAATACATTATATAATAAAAATGAATATGATTTGGAAATTGTATGTAAAAAATAACAATCAGTGTTTCAAACAAACAAAAAAAAATCTATGACGTCATCCACTAAAACTCCTATGAATTAAACGCGCTTGAATAAATTATCAAGTCTGTATAATGCGCCTGGAAAATCACGTTTATTTTACATACTCAAACATAGATGAGTATTTGACTTTATGAAAATCCTGGAAATTTTTTTTCTTTGATAAACCCAGAAAATCCCGGAAAACTGTTTTTTTTAAAAATTAATCGCATTTAACTGACAAACAGAATTTAGATTATTTTAAAACGGAATTTATATTAATTAATTTTTTACAAAAAGGAATTTCTAATACTCGAAAAAGTTTGAATGAATTAAAAAGCAAAAAAAATGAAGAAAAATGATTATCAAATTAATATCAAAAAACATCCGGAAATTCCTGGAAAAATTAAAGGAGTTTTATGTGAATTTCTGGAAAAAAACTCATCTATGCTCAAAATACCACAGAAAATGGAGAAGACGAGCTTTGACTAAAACAACAAGATTTTTTTTCTTGATATACATTTATTAATTAGTTTTAATCAAAAAAATTTACTCAGACGTTTTGTTTTAACATGCTCTTTAATATGAACACAACATGTCTCGGGACTTGGTAGTCCCTTTAAACAAACCGTTTTTTTAACAAAAAACCAGTTAGATCACAATTGCGGTTAAATGCTTTTACTTTTAACATTATATTTTCTGAATAAACATCACATAAGCGATATCAAAATAAAAATTAAATATTCTAAAAGATTAATGTTTTCTCTTAACATTAAATTGCTGAACGCGTAGGCATATGGCCCTTTTGCATGTAAAATACGAGCTTGGTAACGCCTGTTATCAAGATGTAACATTTGAACCAATACTCAATCTGAGTATTGGTTCAAACTGGTAAGGAAGAAGATGAGCTTTACAGTCAAATGCTTTTTTGCAGTGTTTTGTGACAAGACTATCAGGTATTTCTTAAGCATATTAATTACTATAAAAAAAGGAGTCCTAGAGTCCTAAATTTTTTATTGACTCCTGAGACTCCAGGCTAAAATAGGGATTTGATGGACTCCGACTCTGGATCCTTAATTCTTACTGTATATTTACTCTTACCATTGTTGATACTTTTAATGTAAATATAAAATTTTATTTCTTTTTTAGATCACAAGATTAGTAGTTTAAAAAATTAAATTAAATGAATGTAAAATGAATGTAAATCAGTTTCTTGTCACCTAACCAATATTTGATTTTATTTAGATGTTGTTCATCGTAATCTGTCAACATGCCGTAGTACGGATAACGATGTAGCAAATGCAATTAAAGCATGGCTTTGCTTTGCAAAAGATCATGGTGGAGGGAGGAGGAGAAGAGAAGCAGTGTTTTAAAATGTTTAAATATTATAAATTCAATAATAAACAACTTTTTACTAGAAACTCAAAAATTTATTAGAACTTTATTAACTTAACATGTAGCGCTAACCTGTAAAACCTATTATGATACCAACATTGGTTTGATGAGTATCAAATTATCCCAGACTACACACTACATTACGCCAATGTTAAAAAAAGATAAAATGCACAATTGCATTGTTTGCTTGATGAGAAGGTATTTTAGCGCATACAACCTTTTACTAACGTGCCAATGTAAAACTAACTAAAATATCATTAAAATGTGTCGCTAACTGTACCTAACTAGCACACTTTATTAGAAAAACATCGACTCAACTTTGAAACAACGTTTGAAGTGTTGTTTTGACGTTGGGTCAACATGTTTTCAACAAAGTGTTCTAGCTTGAAACCTTGAATACTTGGTTTGGCTAATGTCGCACCTACAACATACCAGTAAGAATGGGCAAACATATTGCCACTGTATTGAGTAAAACAATTCCAACATAATCTCAAAGGACAAACGATTATATGCCAACACAACACCAACCTAAACATTTTGTTAGGCCGACATTGCCCCTACAAACTTAGACCAACTGTGCGCCAATGTAAGGTCAACATAGTATAAAATAGGTTATGCCAGTGTGCCACCAACTGCTGCAACTTGTTTGGGCCAACGTTACGCCAACAATTTAATACCAAGAATAGGCCAAGGTTTTGCCAACAACACTGAAAATATACAACGCCAACACAGAGACGATGGGTAGTCAATCATATGCCGACACGACGCCAACCTACAACCAACCAAAGCCCTTCGTTGGGCCAGCAATCACAAATACGTTGGGCTAATGTTGGGCCTACTAAGTTGTGCTGCTCAGGTACATAAATACATATATATATATATATATATATATATATATATATATATATATATATATATATATATATATATATATATATATATATATATATATATATATATATATATATATATATATATATATATATATATATATATATATATGGGCATTTTCAAAAAATCTCGCACAGAAACTCATATATGTTTTGTCTAATATTTTCATAAGAATACAACTGGCGATCTCCAACTCGTTCTCATTTAATTCTAACCTATATAAATATTTTGTAAGCAAAAAAAGTTCAACATTAGTAATGTTAACAAAAAAATAAATTAAGTTTGAAGCGGAATCACACAAAGAACAGAAAAACTGAAATTTTAGTTACTAGATAAATAAACTTTAATTCCTCGGAAAATATAAGTTTCACCATTATATATTTTTTAAAATAATGTTTAAAGTGTTAGTAAAGCTTTGTAGAAATTTATAGGATTGCACTATGTATTATAGAGTCACAGCAATCGTTTAAATGCAGTTCATGAATAATTATGGACAGAAGTCACACACAGAAGTTGCGAATTTGTTAATTTCATGTAGATATTTTCAAGAAAATAAATTGCTTGTATTTTAAGTGAAATATTATACTTCTATGACTCATATTTAATATATATTTTTGATGAGAAATATCATCAATTATTTAAAGTTAAAGTATAGAATTTTGAAAAATTCTTGTTTATTTTCAAACTTTAGTGATATTATTACACAAAAAAAAAAAAAAAAGATCAAAAAATATATATTTAACTTATTCAGGTAACCTAAATTATGATAAAAATATTTTTGTTATAAATGTTGTTTTAAAAAATCATAATAGTATGGATATTGCTTTAAGTCGCAGCTTTTGCTAAAACAAAAAAAAATAAAAAAATCACACACAGAAATTGAAATTCCCATATATATTTACATGTAAAATTTTAATAGCTAAATTTTAATGGAGCTTTTAATAAACCATCTACAAAAAGTTTAAACAGACAACATAATAAAATTTCTAAACTTGTTAGTAAAATAAAAAATAAAAAATATGCTTAGTTGTAAAATACATCTTTTTAAATATTAAAAAAAATTAGCCTTTTTTATTTTATCTCTTCTATAAAAAAAAAAAAGTAATTTAGAAGACTGCAACCTTTAATACCTTGTTTAGCCCTTTTTTGCTAATATTAGTAACATACTTGCTAAAACAATGCTAATAATAGCAACATACATTCAACTATCATAATAAGAGTTAAAAAATAACTATATCATATGTTTACTATACTTAATTAAAACTAGTTGGATATTACATACAAATATTACATACCAAATGTTTATTATACTTAATTAGAACTAGTTGAATTTATGTGCTACAACTATGAAATTAAATACTTTATTCAAGATAAAAATTTAGTAATTTTTTAGCCTAGATCTTTGAAGTTTTAAAAAACACAAACATTAACTGCTTATACTATATATCAACTAAATATGACACCTACTTTTGCAGACTGTAGTGAAAGAACTTTTAAATAAAGAGAAACAATCTTCATATCTATGCGATATTGATTCTTTCGTTCTCTAATTAGATTGTCTTCTAAATTTGATATACTGTCAGTTGCACTCCATGATTCCATTGCCCAAACAGCTTGTGAATCTACTCTGCTTTGGTTAGAATCAATTGCTTCTTGTTTTTCTTTTAAAATTTGGCATTGCAGCATTATTTCACGCTGCAGTTGCTCAAAACTGTGTATTTCTTCATCCATCAGTGTAGATCAACATAAGGCTTTTTAACATAACACATCCGTCTTCCTAGAACACATGTGATTTGTTTTTATAATTTCCGTGTTTACGGTTTCAAATTTCTATTCTCGGTAGCCGGTTCATATACTACGTACCAAAGACAACTTAAATGGGTTAAGTAGAAAATCGCAAATTACAAACACTTCTTATGGGCTGTCCATTAATTACGTCAACAAATTTTTTGAAATTTTTACCTCTCTTCCTCCCTCTTGTCAAAAATTTGTCAAAATTTCAGAGACCCACCTCACCTTTATAAAATTATGTCAACTTTTGATTACCCTCCCCCCTTCCATCCTCTACAAAGGAAATACGCTACACACTCAGCTTAATTTTCCGTTATTTAAGCAATGAAACTCAAAAAAAAAAAGAAAAATTGTTGACGTCGACTTTAATTGACTCCTCCCCTGCCCCATGTCAACAATTGTCAAAAAAGATGAGACCCCCACCCCCTATTTAGTTGACGTAATTAATGGGCAACCCCTTGATATTAACACATTATCTTCAAATAAATTTTATTGACTATAAAAATAAAAATAAACTATAGAAAAAATATAGAAAATTTATAGAAAAGCTTACGGATTTGTCTTCCCTAATTAAATTAATAAAAGTAAATAGGAAGAACTATGTAAAGAAGTATGTCCTACATTGATATCTTTTAGCCCATATCCAGTTATCGTATATCGTATTAAGTTGATCGTATTTAAAATTTTACATGGACAAGCTGTTAGTGTCTTAAGGATTATCTATCAAAACTTGTTTGATCACTAAGTAATCTCGATATCAAAGAATAAAAAAGCACTTACCATATTAAAAAAAAAACGCAAATGCCGATGTCTCTTCTCTTTTTTTTTTTTTGTTTTTTTTTTACATTTGTTAATCGTAGTACAGCTTTAAATAACCTATAAAAAAAATTATAATAAAATAAACTTACAATGGCATAAAACATAACAAACATAAAAAAGGTATTTGAAAGAAGATCGCAAGGACCTCAATACTACGAAAGACTTAAAAGACTAAATCTACTATCACTCGAGTTTCGGCGCCTACGATGCGATCTAATAAAAATTTTTAAACTAATGTATCGATTTGATATAATTAATAATATATATCAACCAAAATTTATTAACTCATTGTCACGAGGTCACAATCTTAAAATAAGACGTAAATATGTTCCAAACTGTCTTCCAAGACACAACTAATTATATAATAGATCAGCAAAATACAGGAATAAACTACCTGAGCAAGTAACTTTATACTCAACTGTATTGTCTTTTAAAATTAGATTAGGTCACTGGTTGAGGATAAAATTTGGAACGAATATTTATAAAACTGATTGTTTATAGTAGAGTGTTTTCCCTGCTCGCTACATGCATATATGGTATGTATGTTTTACGGCTACAACTATAATATATATAATAATTAATCAAAATCTTATGAAGAGTTTGGGTAATAGGAGACCAAAGGTACAGGTCTACATAGAGCGAAGCAGTTTCCCAACTGTATATTTGAAATTTTGATGAGTTAATATCATAACAACATGAAATTGTGGCCAAAGTGATATGAAGTCTTTCTATGAGATCTATATCCATGTTTAATTTATTAGTTGAAACATCATTTCGCTAAAAAACTTTAAAACTAGTATTTTGTAAGATATATGGAGCATACATTCTAAAAACCTTGTCTGACATCTCCTTCTTATGTTTTTTTTTTTAAACTACTAAAGATAGATTGTTCATTTTCATTGGAGATACACTTCACACAGAACATCATTGGGAAGAATTGGTTGCTGACAGCAACTTGCTGTGGAAATAATATTTTAAATTTTTCTAACAATTATGATTAAATTTACAATATATTGTACTTCAACTTCCTTCATTGCACCAATCGAACAGATACAACTGATATTGTATTTGAATGAATGGAATTAATAGTTTTTGAATAGAAGTCATAATTGAATTTTATTCTGCAAGAACTATTTCATTTGATTTATTTTCTTATTGTAATACTGAGAGGGTTGCAGTAACTAGTTGACGATGGTGACGGATTTTTCCAAACAACCTATTTTTTGTCATCTTTAAAACAATATGTTCCAGAGGAACTAAGCAAGTTATAAAAAGCGATTCATCAGTATTAAGTTCATTCGTATCAATAAACTGCAGTTTATAAACAGGTTGCTCTGTTGCACAAGCCAGTTTTGTACTTTAGAATTAGTCTGGAACAATCTTTAAGCACAGGTGAAAGAAACAACACTATATTTTTATATAAACTCAAGTCTATATAAAAAATTATTATAAACTCAAACTGCAGTTTTTTTATTTTAAATTCTATTAAATTTGTTAATAAATGATGTTTACTTTGTTCAAAATATTTATATAAATTGCTATTAAAATAGTTTTTTTTTTTAATTTACATCTTAAAATAACGTATAAGTTGGTTTATATGGCAAAAAAAAAAAAAATGTAAAGTTCTTTAAAATAATAAATGGAAGTTTTAAAAAGATTTAAAAAGACATAATTTTCGCTTTGGGCACCATACAAATTCAAAAGTTGAGGACTTTGACCTACTGTAAGATGTTGCATATACGTTCAGAGGAGGTATTGAACCTTGTTTAATTCTGAAGCACTTTGACCAGTGGTCAGAGTACTTGCTTGTGCTTGGTGACCACTGCGCCACGCTTCCATTAAAGCATTTAAGCCGTAACTTTGCGCTCTAAGAACCAATTAAATTTGTTCTTTCACATTTTACTTCTACTATTGGCATAATTCAATTTCATAAAAATTGTTGTAAATTCTTATTTTTATCTGAAATATAATCAAATTAAATGGTTTGATAATTGTTACCACTTTTTATTTTCTATTTGAGCCTCTGTGAGTTTGCAAACCGTCGTTAAACTTTTAAAAGGCTTTTTGATAAATATATGTTATTATTACTTCTAAATTTTGTATAATAAAACCAAAAAACCTGTAAAATACATTTGAAAATGACCATTAGTAAAGTGTAATCTAATATTTTCTAATATTTATTTGTAATCTAATGTATTTTACGAAAAAAAACTTTAAATAATAAATTTGTCATCTCAGAAGTTACGTATTCAAGACGAAATTTACGTAAGCACGTGATTAATGATTTATAAATGGATTGTTTTTAAATTTTCTTAACCAAAAAAAAAATTTAATCTATCTATTTTCTTGAGAAAGTAAGTAAAGTTAAAAGGCATAATATATATTTTAACTGTTGAATTAATTATTTTGTGCATAAAAGTTAAATATATAAATGAGTTGTCTGTAAAAATAGTATAGTTATATAATGGTAAAGGTATAAATGATGAAAGAATTTTTTATAAACCACCTAAGTGTTTTTTCTTTATGTTTAAAAATCTTTTATAATAAAAACTCTAAAAGGATTTATTGCAATTCTTAATTATAATTGAGATGAGAAGTTATTTACTATAACATTATAGAAGATTTGTCACCTCAATTTTAAAATGTTTGTTCCACTGTAATAAATCTATATTTATGGTATGTTTTCATTCTTTGTTTCTTTATTTTTCTATGTTAATGTATACATTACCAATATGAATAAGCATTAAAATTTTAAGATAGTGATTACTATATCATATAGTAATCACTATGAAATTTATAAAGCATGATAATGATTAACAGACAACTTAAAAGATTGCAAATTTCATGAATCAGGAAAACAAGATAAAGGGAAAAAATTGCAGAAAACTGATGTCCGAAGAAAAAACTAAATGAAATATTTGGAACACTTAAGAACAGTCACAGTAAAAGAATAAGACTTAGTTGAATAATGAGTAACACAAGAATGAATTATATCTTCGATAATGTTATAGTAAATAAGTTGATGGCATAAAATACATTAGCCCTTTAGAGCAGCACCCATTGTAGTATTTATAGAAAAGAGAAAGAAGCAACATTATTATGAAATGAAAATGATTGAAGGTTGGCTGCAGGAGCAAGTCTAACAATGCTTACAATGCATTTTTGCATCTTGTCTTCCAGAGATTTATAGAGATAAAGAATAGAATCCAAAGTAAGAAAGTGGCAAACATGAAAAAGAGATGCAACCTTAGCAGATGCCAAATTTGCCATGGATTTGATATGTGGTTTTTAAAAATTTTTTTGAAAGTACGAACGAAAACTTGAATAAGTGTTTAGCTTTTCAACAGATTGCAATCTGTTTTGTTATTTAAAAAAATTAAAGTAACCAGAACATGTTTGTGCTTCAACAACCTAAATTTGCAGTAATAGTAGTCATGGGGGATTTTAGACCCTTTTTGACAACATTGAAGTTATTTGCGCAAGTTTTTTTTCAGTTTTAATTTATTAATTCATTAGCTGAGGACCTTTTTATTTATTTGGTAATTTTTTAAATTCATAATGTTTATTTAGCTTAAAAATGTCTTTATTCAGCAATTTTTTATCAATGTATCCTTAAGGCATGAATTGGCATGTGTGTGTGTGTGTGGGTGGGGGTGGGGGGATACCACAGTCCAAATTATTTCCCTACAATTGTCTGTAGTAGTAATAGTAGTAGTAGTAGTAGTAGTAGTAGTAGTAGTAGTAGTAGTAGTAGTAGTAGTAGTAGTAGTAGTAGTAGTAGTAGTAGTAATAGTAGTAGTAGTTGTAGTAGTAGTAATAGTAGTAGTAGTTTATGAATATAAATATATATATCTAATATAGCATATTTATGTAACAAATTATTACCATTTTTTTTTTTACATTAATTAAATATGAATTTTCAAAAAAAGAAGAAAAAAATAAAGAATAATGAAAGAAAAGATTGTTTGCCCCAGGTCCAAGCCTCAGTTGATGTACAGCACTCCACTGCAAGTCAGGTTATTTGTCAGTCAATATGTGTACTGAAGTTCCCAGCAGTAGGCTATTTTAGTATGATGTCAGACTGCTAACCTAAACCAGAAGTATAAGATATATATATATATATATATATATATATATATATATATATATATATATATATATATATATATATATATATATATATATATATATATATATATATATATATATATATATATATATATATATATATATATATATATATATATATATATATATGTATATATACAGTGCTGGAAGTGGAGAAAAAAAAGTAACAGGAAAGTATTCAGGAAAGTATTAAAAAAAGAAACAGGAAAGTAACAGGATGGTATTCACTAAGTTAAAAATACTATCCTGCCTAATCATTGTTATATAGAGAGATTTATAAAAAAGTAGCAGGATGGTTTATAATTTATAAAAAGGTGACGGGATGGCATCCCGCCGTATCCCGCTTCACTTCGAGAACTGTATATTATATATATATATATATATATATATATATATATATATATAAATATATTTGTATATATGCATGTGTATATATATGTATACATATATATATACAAATATATATATGTATGTATATATATATGTATATACATGTATATATATCAATATATATATATATATATATATATATATATATATATATATATATATATATATATATATGTATATATATATATATATATGTATATATGTATATATATATATATATATATATATATATATATATATATATATATATATATATATATCCTTATAGTGTAGTCGAAAGAGACTTTTATGGTAAAAAAAGTCTCTTTCAACTTCAATTTTTTTACCTTGTCTTTTAAGCTGCATTTTATTGTCGTTGAAATGTCAAAGCAATTAAATTAATGCGGAAGTATATTAAATTTTATTGTTTTTTTAAAAAAAAAAACAATAATAATGACTAGAAAGTTTTTTTTTAATTAGTGGTGTTTTTGTTTTATTAAAAAACATTTTTAAAACATGCGTAAGTGTTGGTACATCGACTATCTTATAGACTGCTGCTACAAGGGAGTGTTGCTAGATCGACTATCTTATAGCCTGACTTGCAACGGAGTGCTGCTACATCGACTAACAAATAACCTGACTCGCAAGGGAGTGCTGCTGCATTGACTGACAAATAGCCTGACTCGTAAGGGAGTACATCGACTGAGGGTTTGGTTTGGGCAGGCAGTCTATCATTTAAAAAAAAAATTTTTTGTGAGTTTTTCCCATAAACTGTTGTTTTAAAGAGCGTGTTAATAAGCCTGACCAGAAAAAGTTGAAAATCTTCACAAAATTTTTTTTTTTTTTAAATGACCTCTGCTGTTGGTGTTCAACTTAAAACACCTACAAGTAGAAGCCATCGTCGTAATACCCGCACTGGAACTCCTGCCTTCATACCACATGACATTGTGCAACGACCAAGGCTTGTTGCACTAGCAACCCGCTTAAAATTAACATCAGCGCAGCAGGCAATTTACACTGAGGCTCTCATTGAGGAAGCAGGAGGCGATTCAACTAAGGTTTCTTCATCATATTCTTATGCTGACAAATCCAGGCAGAAAGTGGGAAAGAACCTTGCAGAATCTTTCAGGTATGAGTGGATTCCTCATAAACTTGCAACTCTGCACTGGGATTCCAAACAAATGTCATCATTGTCCAACAGAAACATTTCTGAGGAGCATCTCTCTGTTCTAGTAGGAACTGCTAATGAAATGAAGCTACTTGGTGTTCCAGCATATGAACCTGGAACAGATAGAAAATCTGGTGATATCATTGCAGATTTAACAGTCGATCTGTTAAAGTCATGGAACTGCACCGACTCTATTATTTGCATGGCATTTGACACAACTGCATCAAACACAGGGCATGTCACTGCAGCTTGTGTGACCATTTAGCAACGCTTGGGTCGATGTCTTCTTTGGAATGCGTGTCAACATCATGTTGGGGAGACAATCTTAACTCATGTGTTTTCCAACCTCCAAATCGAAGTTTCAAAATCGCTCTGTTTACAAGATTTTGTAAACACTTTAAGCTACTTCAATTGCGTCCAGCTGATCGACTGTCAAGGTTTGAATCTACCTCCTTTTCTGAAAAAGCTAAAACGTTCACTGACCATTGTAGAGAAAATGTTATGAAACTTGCTCATTCGAAACTAGATTATCGTAGAGATGACTATCTGGAATTTGTCAAGTTGTGCACTATTTTTCTTGATTGTGAAAAAGAAGGACACACACTGACCTTTAAGCGCCCTGGAGCTCTACACAAAGCCCGATGGATGGTGAAGCTCATATATTCAATTAAAATCTGCCTATTTGAAGAACAGATTCGTGATCTTTCAATCGGCACAATAACTACAAAAGCACAAACTGCCAGAGTGAGAGAATTTGTCAACTTCTCTACCCTGATATATAGTGTCTGGTGGATGACGTGCAGTTTTTACTATGCCCCACTTTGCGGTAATGGGGGGGGGGGAGTTGCGTTAGTATATAATTGTAAATTTTGTACGTAATTGTTCTATTTTTAGCATATTATCTCTCATATTTAAATATAATCTTACAATTTTCTTGTTTGGCAGAGTTTAAAATAGCGTAAGTTACTGTTATTATGTACAACTTAAGTTATAACTTAAAGTTTAAGTTGCAGTTGTAATAAGCAATAACATTTTTAGTACTATTAAGATATTTCTTTAAGTATATTTTTACTTAACATGATACTTAAAAAAGTAAAAGTAAAAAGTAAGAGAAAAAGCAACATTACAATATCTAAACCACTTTAATTAGTCAAAGAAAACTATTTAATACGTTCATGCTGGCGTAAAAATAGTGTTAATTTTAAAAAGTATTTTAATTGTTAAAAGCTATAAAATAACATTAAAACAAACTGTAGCTTGGGTTAATGTAAAACAAATTCGTGAAGCTGTTTCGTTTTAATTTATACAACTTGCGTACTTATAGAAAATGTTTAGTCTAGATGTCTCTATAAATAAAAAGAAAATATAAAAAAATGGTGTCGTATTTTTCATATTCTATTCAACAATTTTTGTTAAAATAATTATTAATTAAAAGCTTATATTATGTGTTAACAACATGTAAGATTTAAATTGAAACATGTTTATGACCAACTTTTGCGAGTATATTAAATAAATTAATATAATTGTCAAATTAATACTCAAGTATCTGTAAGTTACTGTCTTAACTTAACTGGTTGTTTTGATTTAGGTTATACTCTATCCATTCAGTAAAGTTAACTAAATATAACTTCAATAGTTTCAAGGTTGTTAAAGCGAAAAACGTGAAAGCAAAAAAGTTGCTGGTTTCTA